GGATAGTAAGCAACGGGGAACGAAACGAATATGCAATATATTTCGTATATCTCTCTGTAAGTAATTTAATAAGTCGAGCGCCGCCCATTCGACGATATCGCTGCGATATCGTCCTCCCCCCGAAATATCGAAATATCCGCCGACAAAGATTTATTATTATACAGGCAGACACGTTTCCGAAAAAAAAATTTTTTCTTTTTATCCCGAAATATTACGGGTAACCGTCGTGTTCGTTCGTTAAATATAAATAAAAAAATTTACAACGTACAGCGTAAACCACGGAATACGGAAGAAGAGACGGATAAACGTGATAAATCGGATAAAATCATATACGACGCGTGATCTCCGCTTACGAATTTTACTGCTTACGCGAGCGTGAGCAAGGAAGGGAGGGAGGGAGGGGGAGAGGTAGGAAAGGAGGTATCCGATACGATCCATCCAATACGATCGAATCTTTTTTTTTCTTCTTTCTTTCTTTCTTTTCAAATTAGAACTTGGGGAGGAGAAGGTGGTTCCCTCGCCCCCCCCCTCGCCCCCCTCCCTCCTCCTCCCCCTTATCTCTTCAGGGGCTTTTCTCCCCTGGAACAAATGGTTTAGACGCGAATACCAGTTATTAGGACGAATGCGTGTGACATAGCCGAGTGGATCCCGATGAAGATTCGTGAGACGAAAAGGGTCTGGAAGGGTCAGATAGAGGGCTTAGTCGTTGCACCGCAACTCGACAGGCGAGCCGTGCTTGATAGGGGATGAGTGGACGTCTCGTAGTTAGTGGAGGATCATCCGTAATTTATGGGAGATCGATCGACTTCGCATTGAGCTGCCACCCAATGACGTAATCGATCGCGTGCGATTACATCACACGGGATTCTGGCCGGGCATGTAAGTAGCATCGTGTGTGTGTGTGTGTGTGTGTGTGTACGTGTGTGTGTGTGTGTATTTCGAAGCGAGTTGTATTTCCCTCGCGTGCCACGAAAAGGAAAAGAAAAAAAATATATATATATATATCACGAAAGCGTGCGTACGTACGTACGTATATACGTCCAGGCGAAAACGGACGTCTGTCAACAAGATAACGTTTTATCACGAATAATGTAAATATCTCCTCTTGATTAATCGTTAATGTCTCCCTCCCTCTCTCTCTC